TCTATATTTTAATAATATTTCAAATAAAGCTTTACATAAAATACGTCTAAAATATTTATATAACATTTCAAAAAATAAATATATTTATTTATTACACACACACACACATATATTTATATTTATTTATTTATAAATATATTTATTTATTACTATAGTAATAAATATTTATCATATTCTGTGCTGTCTGGGTAGCTACTTGTTTGCATTTAATAAAAGAGAATCGCGTGAAAATTTATAAATAGTGGCTATTATCGCGGTATCATCCTATAATTAATAAAATAATTAATTGGATGGATTCACTTAAATTGGGTCGAAAAAATTGTATTGCGTTGAATGATAATGCTAGTTATAAATTTCAAAATTTATTGTTGCTGTCAGATTACAAAGCAGAATGAAAAGCGAGATTCGTACTTTGTCAAATAAAATAAAATGTATCATACATCGAAATAATAAAGTATTTACAATAAATTAATTAAGTCAACTTCAAATTTTTTTGTAATATTCACGCCCCTTTGCCCCTTTAAACATTGCTACGAGAGAATCCATAGTCTCTTCTCCAGTTGGGATAATTTGTTCAGGGGGCAACAAAAAGCCGTAATTACCTTGATCACGCAAGTAGATGTAGATGATAGGTATATCATATATGCCTTTGACATAATCCGTACTACTTCCAGAATTCATGTCTAAAAAAATAATATAATGAGAACATAAAATTGAAAAGAAATTATGTTTTTTTATGTATACGATCACTTCAATCTAGCTCGGAGAATGTAATAATTATATTCAATCAACGGATTATGTTTCAGAGTTTAAAGTAATACAAATAAAAAAAGACTTTTGTAAATCATTTCAGATAATACAAGAGTTAGATAATTACAAAATGTTCAAGTATATTTTAGATAAAAGACATAGAGAAGTAAACTAAATTAAAAATTTTTCTGCTCCTACATATCATCTCAGCAACATTTCTGGTTTTATATGTAGTTCCATGTCTTTGTTTGATAGCTGTAATCAATTTTGTGCCGATGGCGTACTGAAAATATAAAGATTATATAAATTATTCGAAAGGAATTAGCGCTATGAGCCAAAGGTTAATTATTGTGAGTTAAATTATTTGTATAAACATATCATAACAATAAAAAACACTTTAATGTCTGCTATAAACAATTACAAATCAAAGATAAAAGAACAAAGAACAAACGTTTCGATCCCTATGGGATCCTTCTCAATGTTGTGTGTGAAATAAAATTAAATTAAAAATTACACTACGATCTCATATTATTCAGATGACATAATTGAAGGATGGTGCAATGGAAAACGATAATATAATGTTCCTCCGTAAAAATGCATGATTATAATTTCTGTTGAGAAATACACTAATAAGTCGTATAAATTAATAAGTCATATGAAATATAAGAGTAAACTACCATTAACATTATAATATGTTCAATAATAATTTTGTAGCAGTTGAATTGAATAGAATAAATACCTTGTGTTAGAATCTTAATAGACAAGCAGTGCGACGAGAGAGAAAAATTGTGTCATCTTTAGTATGTACTGATATAAATTATTATTATTGTAGATCGATATTAATGACAAGACTACGATAAAAAACTTTGATTATTGTCAAAATTTTTTAAATTTAAAGAATAAGAGCGCAACGATTTTAAATGATGTTATAAAAAAAAATAATTATGAAGAAAAAATGTTACATAATTAGTTTATGAAATACTTTTGATGAAAGATTTTCTATGCTGCTTTAAAATATTAAAGGTTTTCTTCACCGAATTGTTGTAGTCTGCAAAATGCTGCGCCGTGTAATCGTATGGGAACATCAATTGTGAATAGCCTTGGAATGCTAGATAAGCGACAAGTTCTTCAGAAATAGATCTGATGTATTCGGACATGCTCTTCGCTTCTATACAGGAGAAGGGTGCATTCCCGGCATAAATTTCAGAACACGGGGAGCTACTGAAATCTATATAAAAAAACATTAAGTTATAATAACGTTAATAAATATTTTAAGAATTCTTCCAAATCTTTGGAACAATCTGGATATTTCATATCATAACATATTATCAAACATCTGAATAACATTTTATTTTTGACTGTGAAAGAGGGGGAGAGAGAGAAAGAGGGAGAGGGAGGGAGGAAGAGAGAGAGAGAGAGAGAGAGAGAGAGAGAGAGAGAGAGAGAGAGAGAGCGTTAAAGATCTTAAGAGAGAGCTAAAGATCTGGATACTTACTCTTCCATCTGTAGCCCCAGTTTCTGTTGAGATCGCTGCCACGGCAATAAATGAGAGAAAGACGGTGCGGTTCACGCGTCTTCCTCCATATTCGATTCTGAAAATGTCAAAAAAAATATATACAGATAAAATTAATCGTTATAAATTAATCACGCTTTATATAACATTATGAAACGGAGCTTTTACCGTAGTATGCGTGTACACATATCCATCCGGATTGAATAAGGGGAAGATGTACCAATCGTGATTCTCAGCTAAAGCTCTGACGTCTGTATTGTTACTGGTCAGCAATTGATGCAAGATGTACATGGTGATTGCCGGCAAGATCCATTCCCTGGGGTAAGTGCCACCCTCGATAAAAATTCCAGGTTTGTTGGCTTTAAAGGAAACCTTGACACCTTTGATTTTGCGCCCTTCGTATGTTTTGCCAGCCACGACAGTCTGCACTTTGTCGGGATATTGCTCGGCCAAGACATCCATGTTCTTGTAGATCTCGTCGAGAGTGTGATAACTGGTGAGATCAAACGATTTTGACCGAGTCTTAGGGGTTGTTTCATCAATCAATTTCTGGACATCGTAGATGTGAAATCGATAGGGTAAATATATAGGAATATCATGCATTTTCTCGAAGAATTCGGGCAACTTGTGCGGGGCGACCATCAGGTCCACGTGTTTGTTCACGATACTTGGAAAATCCCAGAAGGAGAACTGTAAAGAACATTTAATTTCACTTATAAGAATTGAAATTCAATTATCGAGAAAATTTTTTAAATTTTGCGATATTAATGTATTTATATGTATCTTAATCCAGAGCAGAAGCTCTATACAGACATTCTTGATTTAAAAATATTTGCATGTATCTATAACTAAGAAATTTACTCCATCAATGTTTTCCATTTGGCGCAGAATTTCGAGTTGCGTCTGTGTAGTCGGGATCATTCTGTAGACTTTATATTTGTCGTAACGAGCCTTCTGGCCAGCCGCTAGGCCCACAAAAGCGCACAATGCTATTATCTTCCACATAATGATTCTGTGCAAAATTCTGTACGAATATTTCACATAATTTTAATGCGTGAAATCAAGTTTTGTTAATCACTAATCGATCGACATAATTATCGCGAATATTCTTTTTTTGTTATAATTAAACAACATCAGAGCCCCGGCTCTAATTAATACAGGGCAGGTGCAAAAAAAATACGGGGCCGATTCTTGGAATTCAAAGAAAAATCCTTACAACAAAGATAAAAACATATTTTTTAATAAGAATAATAATAATTTAAACATACTTTAAACTTAAAAAAGTGTTTTTAAGACCGCATATGTGGTATACCTACACAATTAATAAACGAAAAAAGGCCTTTATGCGGTTGAGCAGGATCTTACAATTAGTGCTTAGATTTTCGTGAATTTATTTACATATCTGATTCTGCAAACGCGCACCGAAATATTTTCGGTCTTAAAATACATTTATTGACAAAACCAGAGTAGTAATATCACAATAAAATTGACTAGCAATTTGTATAATATTGATGCTAATGAGCATAGACAGCACAGAATATTTATGATAAATATTTATTATTATTCATATTTTGAAACGTTATATAAACATTTTTACATATTTTACATAAAGCTTTATTTGAAATATTATTAAAAGATAGACTAAATATTTAATGTAATATTTATGATAAGTATACATAAATATTTCTGTTATGTATTTTTTATTTGAATTATAATGTCTTATTAAGTATTTCCATAGAATTTACTACATAAGATTTACAATAAATATTTCATAATATTTATAATAAATGTTTATGATCTATGCAATCTAAGGCAACAAAAATATTTACAAAATATTTAAAATAAGCCTTATAAATATTTATAAATGTTTTATAAATATTTTATAAATATTGTGTCTGGGTGTTTTATGATAAAATTTATAATAAAATCGCGAGAGACTGGTCAAAACACGAGACCGTGCGGTGCACTCGTTGCACGTACCTACAACCGGTTCTGAACAACATATATGACTTTTTTTTAAGAAAAATGTAATAGTTAATAACCATTGTCATAGATTGGATGTTCAGTTTTATATAGGAATCGTTTCTCACCTATCAGCTTACCTTTTGGAGACAGGAACACTTGTGATTATGAACTACTGTTTCGTTTATTGTATTTAAACTGGATGCACACGGCACCAATAACAATCAGCACATATATTTTGCTATTATTTACCGCTAGTTGTCGGTGTCGTTATATGTGTATTGTGCAAATATTTTGTATTATCAAAAAACTGCGCAATACACATAACGACAGCGATAACTATCGATAAGCGTGTACAAAATAGCTCCCTAGGACATTTTTATAAAAAATCACATCGATCGATCAAGCTAAGATTATGTTTTTTGTCTATTAGATTAGCTTGAAAAGTATTCACTTATCACATTAATCCGCGCGGCGCACTTAATAGGTACCAAGTTGACGTGTACAGTTCTAAGTCATTCAGTAGCTTATCAAACGTTTAAATTGCACATACATATATATCCACAAGTACCTTATAATTATTCCTAGTGAAACAATTTTGCGGAAACTTCGCAGAAATTTGGTTGAAATTGTCATTTCAGCGAAAATGCTAAAAATTTATATCGCTAAAATTTCGCTGAAAGTGAATGTTTCAGCAAAAATATCGAAAAATCACTGAAATTAAAAACTGAAATTCCTCCATAAAATACCTCTTCTGTCCATAAATTTCGCTAAAATTTGCTGAAATTTCGGACCCAGCATGTAATCGATCGCCACAGAGGGCAAAATGAACACCCAGACGAAAAAATATTTTGTACGAAGTTTTATCCCAAAAGAGCCACATCGAATGTATTACAACTACACATCCATTAACATTGTGTAGGTATTCGTAGATCATCGAAAAAGCAGTTCCTGTACGATCGCAAAGATCAAGCACGCTATATGTTGAGGTACAGCTTAGGATGGGGGGTGGTGATCACTTGAGAATATCATGACATTAATTGCAGAATTCAGGGGATGTTTTTTTATCATAATTTTTTTCGTGTCATAATTATGTCCTTTGAAATATGATGCTAATAGATAATACATATTTCAGCAATAAAACTGGATTAATTAATTTTATTATTCTAAAATTTCTGCGAAATTTTTCCACTAGAAATCTTATACATCGAAATAATAAAGTATTTACAATAAATTAATTACGTCAATTACTTTAAATATTTTAATATCCACGCGCATTTGCCTCTTTAAACATTGCTACGAGTGAGTCCATAGTCTCTTCTCCAGTTGGGATAATCTGCGCAGGGGGTAACAAAAAGCCGTAACGACCTGTATCACGCAACTCGTAAGTGTAGGTGATAGGTGTACCAAAAGTGCCTTTGACATAATCCATACTACTTCCAGTAGCTGTGTCTAAAAAATAATTTAATAAGAATATTAATTTGAAAAAATTGCATTTTTTTATAAATATGATTACACACACACACACGCGCGCGCGCGCACGCACATTCCAATCTCAGAATGCGATAATTACATCCAATTAATGGATTATACACCAGAGTTTAAAGTAATAAAAATAAAAAGAGACTTTTAATTCTAGTAAATTATTTCAGATAATTACAAAATGTTCAAGTATACTTTAGATAAAAGAAATAGAAAAGTAAATTAAATTAAAATTTTGTTTTGCACTTACAGATTGTCTCAGCAATATTTCCGGTTTTATACGAAGTTCCGTATCTCTGTTTGAGAGCTGTAATCGATTTTTTACCGATGGCGTACTGAAAATAAAGTGTAAAGTATAAAAAAATTATGTAAATTATTATTATTGCAACCGATGTTAATGATAACGATAAACTTGACTATATTATCAAAATTTTTCGAATTCGAAGAAGAAAAGCGACGCACAATTCGATAATCAAGTGATAATCAAGTGATATGAAAAAAATAATTATAAAGAAAAAAATAATTATGAAGAAAAAAAGTTCTATTAATTTATGAAATATTTTTTATGAAAGACTTTCTATGTTGCTTTAAAATGTTAAAGTTTTTTTTTACCAAATCGTCGTAGTTTTCAAGATGATCCCTCGTGTGACCATATGGGAACAACAATAATTGCGAATAGCTGTGGAATGATATATAAGCGTAACATCTATCAGAAATAGACTTGATATATTCAGATACGCTCTTTGTTTCTATGCAGGAGAAGGGTGCACTCCCGGCAAAAGTTTCAGAACACGGGTTATTGCTGGAACCTCCAGCTAAAAACATTAAATTATAATAATGTTAACAAAATTTGAAGAATTCTTCAAAATCTTCGGAACAAAGATGGATATTTCATAACATATTATCAAATATCTGCAATTTGAATGTTTGATAACATTTTATTCTTGACTACGAGAAAGAGAGAGAGAGAGAAAGCTTACTGTTCGCTAAAGATCTGGGTACTTACTGTTCCATCTATAGCCCCAGTTTCTGTTGGGATCGCTGCCCTTGCAGAAGAGACCGTATGGCTTACGCGTTTTCCTCCAGAGTCGATTCTGCAGGAAATGTCCAAAAAAATATATGCAGATAAAAGTGATTGATAATTAATCGCGCTTTGTGTAACGTTACGAAACGGAGCTTTTACCGTAGTATGCGTGTACACATATCCATCAGGATTGAACGAAGGGAAGATGTACCAATCGTGACTCTCAGCTAGAGCTCTGACGTCTGTATCGTTACTGGTTAGCAATTGATGTAGGATGTACATGGTGGTTGCTGGCGAGATCCATTCCCTGGCGTGAATGCCACCCTCGATGAAAATTCCATGGTTGTCGGCTTTAAACGAAACCTTGACACCTTTGATCTCGCGTCCTTCATACGTTTTGCCAGCCACGACAGTCTGCACTTTGTCGGGATACTGCTCGGCCAGGTCATCTAGATTCTTGTAGATATCGTCGAGAGTGTGATAACTGATGAAATCAAACGATTTTGACCGAGTCTGAGTCTTAGGAGTTGTTTCATCAATCAACTTCTGGACATCGTCGATGTGCATTTGATAGGGTATACGGATTTCTGCCATCTTCTCATAGAATTCAGGCAACTTGTGCGGGGCGACCATCAAGTCCACGTGTTTGTTCACGATACTTGGAGAATCCCAGAAAGAGAACTGTAAGGAACATTTAATTTCACTTATAAGAGTTGAAATTCAATTATCAAGTTCAATTTGGAAGTTAAAATATTATTTGCCTATTTTTTTATTTTTGAGTTTTCAAATCATTTTCTAATTAAGTAACTTTACAGTTTTATAGGATTTTTAAAATTCTTTAAAATTTCTAAGATTTTAAAACTTGTTCATATTTTAATATAAATCTGAAATTTTAATTTCGTAATTTTAAGAAGTAAAGCAAACATTGCATGCGATATTAATGTTACTTGTATGTATATCTTAATCAAAAACAAAGCTCGCTGCAGACATTCTTGACTCATATTTGCAAAACGTATCTGTAATTAAGAAATTTACTCACAGCTCCATCATTTTCCATTTCGTGCAGAATTTCGAGTTGCGTCTTTGTGGTCGGGATCATTCTGAAGACCTTGTAATTGTCGTAAAGAGCCTTCTGGCCAACCGTCAGGCCCACAATCGCGCACAACATTATTATCTTCCACATAATGATTCTGTACAAATTCGAATATTTCATATAATTTTAATGTGTAAAATCAAATTTTTTAATCATCAATCGACGTAATTATCGCGAATATTCTTTTTTTGTTGTAATTACACAGCACATATAATTTTTTGAAAAAAAAATGTAATAGTTGATGATCATTGTCATAGTTCGGTTTCATATATACACGCAGAGAAAAGATTAGCCAACGCAGCTAAAATATAGCTGTGGCAGTTAAAACGTGTCCTTATAATAGGGACAGCTAATGTCGTTGCTGCCAAAGCTCAATTTATTAGCTGCTAAAATTTAGGTGCTGCAGCGAAAAATATTCTCTACTAAAGTAAAATGCCAACTGGCAGCGTCCTAGAAACAATTACGAATGGAAGGTTCGGTTACGTGGCTAAGATAGTGAAGAATAGCTGATATCACTTACTTAGCTACTCATATTAAGTACGCTTTTAACTTTATCTAATAATAAAGTTGTCGGCAGCAAATGTATTTTATCTTTAATAGCCAACTTTTAGCAATAACAACAAAGTTTTAACCAACAACCGATCTTTAGCTGATATTGCTAAATCTTTTTTTTGCGTGTAGGAATCGTCTCTCATTGATCAGCTTACCTTTTGGAGACAGGAACACTTGTGAATGTAAGCTACTGTTTCGTTCATTGTATTTAAATACTGGATGCACACGGCACCAATAACAATCAGCACATATTCAAGACATTTTTAGAAAAAAATCGCGTCAATCGATCAAACTAAGATCATGTCAGATTTTTATATCTATCAGAGATTAGCTTGAAAAGAATCGATTTTATATTACATTAATCGCGTGACGCACTCAATAGGTATCAAGACGGTGTGTCACAATTAGTCATTCAGTAGCTTATCAAACGTTTAAAATAGACATACACATATATCCGAGTACTTTATAATTAAGCTAGAATTAGATCTGGCTTTTTATGTTTTATATTTATATATATATATATAATAAAAAATTTTAGAGTAAATAAATGATGTTTTCTAAATACATGATAAAAATATATCCCAGAAGATATTTTCTGCAAGATTAGCCGTAAATGTGCAACAATCTCAAAATTGGTGGGCAAAATATATGACAGCTTAGAAGAAAACAATAAATAGATATGTTGATCACATGAAGGCAGATTGATGGCAAATTTTAAACAGATTTGCTTTTGCAAAAATATCAGTATTACGCAAGAATCGAACAGAATCAAGAACACTCGTTTTCTGCTTCTATCGGAGACAGAATCTGATCTATATTTGGCATCAATCTGTCGTTATATTGCTATTTTCAGTCGCTTTGATGTTGTCTTCAATTTGACTTCAAAATATATTCTTCAGATTTAATTTACATTTGAGACTATATGAGGATATATTAGATTCTGGTTTTGTAATCAAATAGTTAACTGAAATACTATATACGTATATATTCATGTTTTGTTGGGATATATTAATAGGAAATAGTTAACTTATTTATATTTAAAATGTATTGCAAGTATAATATATTGTGAAATATTTAATTCCAAGAAGAATAACGTCGATTTAAAAAGAATCATATACAATGTTATGTGTTTTCGTAAGTATATGGAAAACAAATATAGATTTAAGTAAAAGTGAAGTTCTTTAACGTGTTAATCTGATTTGTATACAATTTTAAGTACTTGCAATATGTATGAGACAGAAATGAAATTGATATATCGTCGAATAACTAATAAATCAATTTTTATTTGCGTAAAGTAACGTGATTTTATTTCCTGTCAAACAATCTTAATCTGTAAAACAACTTTATTTCTTTTACGAATGATATATTTTCGTTCGATAATTAAATTATCGGCGCAAAAGGAATTGATTAAATTTATATTTATATAGTTCTTTGATTTCATTTGATATAATTTTCATTATATTGTTTCCGTTAATCGTTAGCTATACTTCGTATCTCTTGTAAATTTTTTTACACAATATTATCGTATGTACAGATACATATTTATATTCTTAACGAATATGTATCGTCGATTTCCCATTGTCTTATCGTAAAGTTCGTCTTTGTCGATTAGTTATTGCGATGTTATTTTTAATCGTGAACTCTCAATTATAGTTAATCTTTGAGTAATTAAATCTCGATAAGACAATCTTGTCACCTAATTATATCAATCAGATCAAGATAATTCCTTCTTATCCGGACAAGATGTTGTATATTTTGTCTGACGGTGTACTAATTACAAAATCACGTCGAATCCTTTTTCACATATGATTTTCTTTGTTCCCCGAGTTCCTTTGTAAACAATATCGATGTACAATTATCGTTTTACACATGCAAATCAGTGATCGATCACTTGCTTGCGAAAAATCATAGACAAACAAAAGAGAAACGCCCAGACAGCACACAATATTTATAAAATATTTACAAAATGTTTATAAATATTTGTAAGATTTATTTTTAATATTTCGTAAATATATATATTTTTGTGGTTTTAGATTGCACAGATCATAAACATTTATTATAAATAATATGAAATATTTGTTGTAAATATTATAGTAAATGCTATGAAAATACTTAATGATACAGACATTATAATCCAAGTAAAAAATACTTTTTAGAAATATTTATTTATATTTATCATAAATATTACATAAAATATTTGGTCTATATTTTAATAATATTTCGAATAAAGCTTTATATAAAATATGTATGAAATATTTATATAACATTTCAAAAAATGAATATTAATAAATATTTATCATAAATATTCTGTGCTGTCTGGGCGCTGGAGTTTGCTCTTTAATCCTTTAAGAGACATCAACTCACAATCAATTCAGAAAACGAATTTCTACGATAGATTTGTGAAAAGTATCAGTTTATCCTTTTACCTGCTTCTACGACGGTAATTCGAAGGGTGCCGACTGTATCAACTTCGATGCGTTTCACACGGAATGTGCTCTCCGATTCAGTCATTCGACTTTTTATAGGCGCTGTGTTTTTCCAGTATTATAGCACGAGAGGAGTAACGGGATATGGGTATTTAATTTACATACATGAAATGTGAGTTATTTGGGAAGCAACCATCGTATACATGACGTCCTAGATTCATTGTTTGCCTTGATAATATGCGGGCCCTTATCAGACGCACTACAAATACCATGCGTACTTAAGAATTAGAGGAAACTCATGATCAAGGGTCGGACAACTTGGCCTGGTTTCTCACGATGCGAAATAATCCATACGTCTCATAATGTTCCGAGATTGTTTATTAACAATGTTTTACAACATCCTATTCGTGTCGAATGCACGAATATAAGTTCGTCATAACTAACAAATTCACATACTTATCCATCGTATTCAACGTAGCATATATACATAACATTTTTTGTTTAAATCATCTCTAGAATCACGGTCGGAAAGAGGAGTCCTCTGTTAACGTTACTTTTTTTGAAAGATGTTACAAATATTATCACGCGCATGATACAGTATACTATCTTAATCTACGTCCTCGAAATTACGTTTAAAAAAACTGCAGCATCGTAGAAAACGTACACAGCATTCACAAGTAACTCGTCATTCCGCGCTTGCAACATTCTTCTCCCAGCATATTATATCATACAATATTATATATAAATTTACAAATTAATTACAAAATCGCTCTGAGGTATCTGTGTGATCAAGTAAATTTTTTAGTCAAATAATTAAGAAATCAATAATCTTAAAATACCTTACTTATTAGGTAAAAAGGTACACGATTTATAATATAATGTTGTATATTATATATTTTAATATTAAATATATTTTTTAAATAATTATACTCATCCTTCACACATATTAATATTCATAATTTAATTTGCAATTAAATAATAAAAACAAATTAATTAATTAATAATTAAATACTATATTATTTAATATATTATTGATTTCCTTTTTTTATATCGTAATGTACTATTCATACAAAAAGAAATATTATTATCAAAATATAATTAAAGTTACAGATACCTCAATGACACAGATACCTCAGAATGCGTGAAATCCGTACCAAAATTTTCATGAAGAAATAATTTCGATCCGTATAAGTTTAATTTGTTTATAGAAAATATAATTAAAAAGTAGCTGACTGGTTAGCTGACCATAAATTTTTGTGATATAAAATATTGTTCTCGCGAAAGAGTATTTTCTCTTGGCTCAATTCTCTCTATAATCGTACGGAACAACAAGCATAGCCGTAAAATTATAATTTATCTGCTATACATGCTCATCTTGTGCATGCTTACACTAACAGATGTAATTGTTTAGCAGCTAAATCAAAATTTCATGTTACATCACAGTCTGCAATTTGTTACGTGTCTCATACAGTCGATTGGAAGTAGACGCCTGCATTAGTCTTCTAGACAACCTTCTAAAATCTAAAAAATATATTCAATACAAATAATTCTTTTTTTTTAGAAAATTATTCGATAAAATAAAGAAAATATAACATAAGATACAAAAAAAGTAATATAACAAAAACGTTCAGTATTAAAAATTCAATCTTTAGAAAAAATGTATTATTAATATCTATTATTAATATGTATCATAGTTAAAATATTATTAATATATATCATTGCTCTGCAGAGATATACAAAAGAATTATATTTTTTAACAGATTTCAGAACGTGGTCCAGGATACATCATTCGACATTCGGAGCTATAATGTAACAAAAAATGCTATCTCAAATTGAAATGCTGATATTGTCTGTAGTATGACTAACTAACTATGAGATGATCAAATACGTTCTGTCATACAAAGCCTATTATTACAAATAATCGCGATCCAATTGTTTGGATGCAACAATTCATTATAAAACGAATGGTAACTTGTTACTTTAAAATTTATTAAATTCACTTTTTTTCCTTTTTTATATCAATTGTAAATTCTGTTACAATTTTTTCGCTAGAACACATAGTAGATAATCTGATGGTCTACGCTTGTACCACAAAAAACGCATTGATGAAAAACAAAAGCTTCAATTATCAAATCTGTACAATTGATTTGATATGTA